GATTGGGGAAGGGAGGGGCTGGGGTGCTAGAAGCAAGCTCTGGCCAGGAGACTTACCAGCCAGCAGCCTGTTCCTGAGTCAGTCTCCCTGCCTGCCCTGCTCCTGCAAAGGCTGCAGCCATGTGCTGTGTGAATAACTACGAGCCCCAGAGGAGAGGGGATGTGGTGCTTGTTGGCCGACTGTTATTGAAACAGGCAGCTCCCATTGGGATTGTGCTGGGGACGGGAGCAGCTGCTAAAGCCTCCCCGCTCCCCTCCGGGCTCATATATTTTAAAATGAAACCGCCTGGCAGCTGCATTTCTGAGCAGCATGTGGGAGGGGCGAGGCAAGCGGGGAGCCTGCCTGGAGGTCCCCCCAGCCTCTGTGGGCCAGATCTGGGGGCTTGGGGCCTATGGGACAAATTTGGCCCAGGCCTGATCTAGACCATCCCTGACCGGTGTCTGTCCAACCTGCCCTGAAATATCTCCAGGGATGGAGATTCCACAACCCCCTAGGCAACTTATTCCAGTGTTGAACCACCCAGCGAAGCAGGAAGTTTTTCCTAATGTCCAACCTAAACCTCCCTTGTTGCAATTTCAGCCCATTGCTTCTTGTTCTATCCTCAGAGGCCAAGGGGAACAATTTTTCTCCCTCCTCCCTGTGACACCCTTTTAGGTACCTGAAAACGGCTCTCCTGTCCCCTCTCAGTCTGCTCCTTTCCAAACGAAACAAGCCCAGTTCTTTCAGCCTCCCCTCAGAGCTCATGTTCTCGAGACCTTTCATCGTTTGTGTTGCTCTTCTCTGGCCCTTCTCCAAATCTTTCCTGAAATGCGGGGCCCAGAACTGGACACAATCCTCCAACTGGGGCCTCATCAGCGCAGAGCAGAGCAGAGCGGAAGAACGACTCCTCGTGTCTGGCTCGCCACACTGCCCTGAAGGCAGCTCAGAATCAGCTTTGCTTTTTTTGCCCCACCATCAGTGTTAACTCCTATCTTACTTGTGGGCCGCTCTGACCCCCAGATCCCTCTCTGCAGGGCTCCTTTCTAGCCAGCGGCTTCCCGTTCTGTGTGTGACTTTGACTGTTCTTTCCTACGTTCCTGTGTACAGTTGGTTTCTGACAGACTGGCCACCTGGCAAGAACCTAAATGTGGAGTGATTTTTGGTGTCTGTGACCTGGGATCTCTAAGCCCAGCCTGTACGGGTTGCGACATGGAGGAGGAGAGCCGGAGGGGACTGTCTGGGACTCTAGTAAGACTGTGGAAGAGATCCAGGGGGCCTCAGGCAATTGTAGTCTGCCCGGAGGTGGGGACTGGCGTTGTGAGCGCCTCCAGTCAGCGTGACAGGCCGTTCTCTGAATTCGGGGAGTGTCCGGTGGAGCAGGGGCTGGAGATCCGGGGTGATGCTCTGAGGGTTCGGGGGTCAGAGTGGGCCTATGGGCCATGTAGCATGGAGGGAGGGCTGGAGTGGGGCCAGAGTTATGGTGTGAACCCCACACCCCGGCACCTGGAGCGGAGAGCCAAGCCCAGGCAGCCCTGTGGGACTGGAGCTGCTGCTGTGTGTGTGGGGGGAGGGGGGGGCAATGCAGGGCTGATTCTTACCCCCACCCCTGGACACGTTCGAACCCAGCCTGGCCTTTCCCCTCCTCCCCCGGGGGCAGGACTGGATCACCCCACCTCTCTGGGCCCCCCCGGCTGTGACCCCCAACCCTGCTCCAGATAAACCGAGTGAGTCCTGGCTCCTCTCGGAGCCCCACGTTTTGCTCCCTTCCCCCCGCCCAAAACCTCAGATGGGGAGGGGCCCCTCTTCGG